TAATCAATAATTTCCACAAATTCACTAAGCTGCAGCGTTTTTTTTTCAGTGATGCCATTTGATTGTCATTCATGGGGCATCACTGAAAACTAGTAAGAAATAATGGATTTGTAGTTATTAAGAAATCAGTGATGGGGGAACACACGTAAAAATTTAGAATAAACTGCTGTACAAAAAAATATATAAAAATAGGTTTACGAAAAATCCTTTCAAGAGGTAGGTATACCTACGAAGGAAGGCACTTTTAAAATTGAAGTTTGAAAGGCTAAAATAGTATAAACCTGCTCAGTATAATGTTGCTGACCTAATTAACTGGTAGAAACAAAAACATCTGTCGAGAACAACATTAATTCGTCATATGTTACAAAAATAATCTCACAGAATTAGATGTTTGTGAACTATTTTTGCTCTCCTACGACTTTTATTTTGATACCCTTTGATGTTTGTCTCTGATGATGATAAAGTTTTAATGATTTACGACGCAGCTACACTTTGTATGCGCGTGATTCGCGGTGTTTTGTTTCACATTTCTACGCACGCTGCGAGTAATTTTCTTTATATAAAACTTTTTATAAGTAGTACTTATACTTTTATTTTGATTAACTCTGACATTTGAGACTCCCTCCATCTTCGACGTCGATAACGTCGAGTTGAGTTGAATTAAAATATAAATAACTTATTTACTTTCTATACTTTTTAAAGTAAAATATAATAAAGTATTGTAATTATCGCTTAAATTTTCAGTCGCTTTCGTTTTTACAAACTGTATCTATTTTACGTTGATTTAATTCATTTCTTGTTCTAAGTAGAAGCAACACAAGAAATTTCATCTGACATATACAGTAGGTTTAAGTTTAAGTTAGGATTAATCGAGTGATAACTCCAGATCTCTGAGTCCAGGGTTTGAATTAAGGCTGGTACTATTTTTTTAATATTTCTTGCAACAGCACCGATAGCCGATAGGCAGCTAGAACTCGTCAGAAGATCTTCATTCATTTGTTTCATGCGGTTTTGAGGAAGGGCTGTCATTCTTTGGGGGCACGTCGGCCTTGACTTGAGCTGTAAAAGCTAGAAGACCTGTGGTTCAAATTCTGTTCAGAGAAAAAGGGAAGGAATTTGGTGTAAAAGTGAATCCAACTGTAGATAAGTGAGTTATAACTGATTTTCCGGATATAAATATGGTAAAAATTATTTTCCGTCGTATTTATTAGTGTAATATTTTATTAGTACGATAACCACGTCAACTAGTAAGCCGACGATTCAGATGCAATGGGAGTGAAGCTGCTTCGAAGAATATCATTCCACCATAGTACAGAGCACAGCCTCGTCCTTCGAACGACCTTCACTGCTGAAAACCGCTACGTCCAAGAATTCTGGTTTCTGTAGTGATGACCTTACAAATGTGGCTTCGTCAGTTTGTCAACGAAATTTGCGAGGGCGGGGCAATAACGCAATCTGACGCAACATTGTGACGTCGCATGACGCGACGATAAGCGTGCGCGACGATCTTTGTAGGCAAGACTTGATAATTCTTGTCATAATGATTGTTTCAAAACGCGATATTTAGTCACCTAAATACAATTGAGGCTACTAGAGGCATAGTGGCCTAATAACAAAAACCATGATTTTCAATAAGGAGAAAAATAAAAATGCTCTTATAGATTAAACATTTTTAAACTATGAAAATATAAATAACTCAAGTCATAAAATTGCGGTAAGGCTACTCTGCCTCTATCGGCCTCCCTCAATTTATTCAAACTAACGGCCTGACGTTTTGGATGCTTGAAGCAGCCGTGACCACGAGGGGAATGAAGATGGAGGTCCCTAATATTAATGCATAAATTGCTACGCTAGCGCCATCTGTTCCGTCGTATTTAGTACTTGGCGAAACTAACTGGGTCTTCTGATAATTTAAGTATGTACTCGTGTAAACTACATACAGTACTAAACCGTTTCGACTATATTAGTTTTGGTAGTATCTTACGTGCTATTCTATTCTTAGACAAAAATATATATCGCCGTTATTCTTGCTTCTTCTATTACTCAGTGGATGATATGTTTAAAAAATAATGGTCAATGATTCTCGAATCCGTGGTTGTAAAGATTGATTAGGTGACATTTATTCTAATCATAAATTAGGTTCAATTGTCTCTTGTAACAGTACAAAATAAAGAAACGACCGCACGATGCCCCACACAGATTTTTACGATTTACGGAACTAAGATTAGCAAATTAGTAAAATTTTTAGATAGCTTCCTTATGCAGGCAGCTTACTAAAAATTTTAAAACCACGCATATAAATAAATCGCTGGAACTCTTTCAATACTTCAGTTTTTAAATATTACGAGTATTTAATTACCTTTCCTTTTCATTATCCTTTTAGCATCTCCGTAGAATCACGACGAACAGACAGACAAACAAATTTTTTTTGACGAATCATCTATATAATTTTTAAAATTTTACAGAGAATAATAAAGTATATTTTATCTCTGGTTGCCTGGTTGCTTAATCTGGTTGCCTGGAAGAGATCGCTATTTAGCGACAAGGCTGCCTATTATTTATAAGCTAGTTCATAAGTTTATTTTCATGTAGAACATGCCTGTGGTGTTATAAATTAATAAAACAATAAGTCAATATACTAATGTTATATAGTTTAATTTGCTATCAGTCCAGTCAACCCAGTCAGTTAACATTTTGTCCGTACAGTCAACGTCAACAAATTTTTGTGATGCACCATTTTACATAACATTCCCTACATAGTATATACAATGTAGAAATTACAAAATGAGACTTACAAATTATATATAAGTAATATACAAAACTGTATAAAGAGACTTAATCGTGAACTAAAGAAAATTAATACCTAAAAAACGGTCGCCATTATTAATTGAATAAGGCATTCGCGGCCATTTTGAATTTGAATTATTTGATGTTATACCTATTTGGGTTTTAGTGTTGGGCTCAACTTCTGCTGAACGCCATCTCTCGTGATAGCAAGACGTCCAGAAACAATTCCTCCCAAAAACCCCAGTAGCACTGCTAAAGAAAGCTATAACTATGATAGATTTTTTAACTACGACCCGACATTCCAGACTCTTCACAACAGTTATATCACGGGATTATTATCTAATACCTATATTTCACGGTTCCAAACGGTTAAGAAGTATTTAATTTACTGTGTATCCGTCGCATTAACTACTACATATGAGGCCGCTAGAGGCAGAGTAGCCTAACTGCAATTTTATGACTTGACTTCTTTATATTTTCATAGTCTAAAAATGTTAATCTACAAGAGCACAGTGACCGGAAATTGTTAATATAATTCTTACACAAATAATAGTACAAGTTCATTTTCGCCTAAGTTGATTGCGCATTTTTATTTTATTGAAAATCATGTTATTAGGCCACTCTGCCTCTAGAAGCCTCATATATCTTAAGCCGTGAACAATCGTAATTTGTTTTATTATATGCTATTAAATGGGTCGTAGGAACATCGAATGTTGCTAGGATATTTCAACTCCCACCATTATAATATAATTAATTACAGTAGAACCCGTAAGTCGAACTTCGATAAGTCAAAAACCGCCACATCTCGAAAAAAAAATTGTGTTCCCTTACTTTCAAACACCAAAACCTCCTTATTCGAAATCTCAACCCTCCCTTTAATCGAAATAATCAGTGAGTCCCTCCAAGCCAATTCGGTACATATATTCTCTCCATAACTCGAAAATTATTTTTACCTCTGTATCTCAAAATAATAAAGTCTTATTTTACACCTATACAACTCAATTATTTAGACCCATTACATATATATTTCGAATACAAATAAGTTCCCGACTTTAAGAATTTGCAAAGAATGAATAGAATTAGTACGAATTTATGACTCACATTAACACGTGTTTGCTTGCTTGATGTCAGGTGTTTCATTTTATTAGTTTTGATTTTATTTGAATGCAAGTTATTTGTTTTCGAGTGAAATGTTGTCAGAAGTAGTTTGGTTCTAAGTAGGTTGGTAAACAAGAGTGCTGTGAAACGTATTTGACCTCTCTTACTCAAAATTTATAAGAATGAATATCAACCTCTTTATGTCGAATCAAAATTCACCTAAGTCGTTAAGTCGAAAACTCTATAACTCGAATTTTTTTGGCGTCTCCCTTGATATTCGACTTATAGAGGTTCTACTGTATAATGAAGCATTCGCTTTAAATTGTTTATTTTTTGGGGTCCGTTTGATTGTGAATTGGCCCAGCTATAGGTGTAAGAAAATAATTTATAAACATACTGGATCCAAAACGCACCACAAGATTAATGTCAGCTATGGTCTCATAAAAAACATATCTGGCATTCAGGATCATGGATTGAGTTATTGCATCAAAAAAATGATTTACAAACATGTTCAATCTGGTACGAACCAAACCCACCACGGGTTGACTATTCATCCATCTATGTTTTTTATGATAGAGGAAAACTGACAAGCATACACTTGATGGTAGATCGAATACCCCAGCCTATACCATCTAAACAAGATGACTGCCGACATATCTTGGATTTGGATATTCGGAAATCCACAGACTGAAACCGAAACTTGATTAAACTTTTAAATAAAACACTTTAACGGTTTAAACGCGATATATTAGTGAAACTTAATAGTTAAACTCATTATTAATATTATTATATTAATAATGAGTTTAACTAATATATCGCGTTTTAAACCGTTTAAGTATTTTATTTAAATGTGTACTACTCGCGTAAACTATAGACAGTATTTGATTAAACTTCACGGCTTATCATCCGTGGACGTCGTTGATATACCTACCGCCCATTTAATATAACAAACAACCAACATGTTTGTGAAAAGTTGAAGATTGATTAGAAAAATTGATAGAAGACCCGGTGGGGGTGGGGGGGTCCCCAACCTACGACCCGTTGATTATTGCCGTACATTGCTTCCGTTACACCAACGGGTTATCAAAACCGTTAGATATGTATAACAACACTGTTTAAACAGCGGGTATATTGTAGAACGCCAATTTATCAAACATCTCTATGTCTCCGGGCAGTTCTCTTTCCCGATTAATGTCGACATTCTTAAGAGTCCCCATTGGTATATGGTTCGCCGTCACCTTCTCCACTTGGGAGAAAATTGGCATCTCCCCATCTGTATTCTCGCGAAATTCAATCTTGGCGTTGCCATTTTGGTTCTTTAAAAGCTCGCTTTCCATTTTAATATTGGTCTTCTCTTCATAATCGCTAAGCCGTAAGTAGCACCCGTCCCTCCTTTGCAAGTCCTTTTGATTGAGTTTAACCGCTTTGTTTTGTATTGTGACATTCGGCGGTTTCTTGGCGACCTTCTTTTTGTCATCTTTGTTCTTTTGTTTGTCATCTTTTTTAGTGGTCTTCTCTGTTTGCTTTTTAACTTCGTCATCTTTCTTTGACTTTTCGTGCACGACGCGTACATGACGTCGCATGTCATAGGATACACGGAAACATTTGTCGCAATGAGCGCACTGATATGGCCTCAAACCTGGAAATAGAGGTTTCTTAAGTATAGCCTGTAGTTTACGCGAGTGGTACACATTTAAATAAAACATGTTTAACGGATTAAAATTCGAAATGTTTTTTATTCTTTGCCAAATTATGTTGAGAAATTTATTTTGCATTTTAAGTCGTTACAAGCGTTTTATGTATACACAATTGTATTTACGACACAATTTACAAAACGGGCGGTAATCAAACCGGCAACCACACAGCGCTCCATACTACCGCTTAAACCAATTGAGCTACCATGTCCTACACGCCATAGTCGAATTACCTCAACCAATAATGCATCTCTTGCGCAATGTCATTTTATCTTAACACAAGTTCATTCTCTGGTATTATAAGATCTTTTGATTGTCTTACCAGTGTGTGTCCGCATGTGTATCTGTTTGTATGAAGCGGCGCGAAAGCTCTTCGGGCAAAAGTCACATTTGTAATTCCTCTCGCCTGTGTGTATCCGCCGATGGATATTGAGCGAGTAGCGACGGGCGAATTCCTTGTTGCAAAATTCGCATTTAAACAGTTTCTGTAAGAGATTTAAATATTTAAGTAAGTAAAAGATTATGTGAAGTTACCTATTGTACCGTAATGAATAATAAAAGATCTCTCTTGTATAATTAATTCTATTATAAATCCCATGAGGTTTTGTCCGACCACTACGACGATCACGACGAGCAATCATTCCCATGATTTCCTTTAATAGAGGTGTATCGTGGGTGAAATATTCCAGCTAATTTGAATATTTGGAAGTTATAGACTCTGTGGAATTTATGAAACCAATAATATCCAAATGAATATCCACATTTTTAGACGAAGCTTCAATGTTTTAGAAAAATTAAAAGTCGATTCGAAACATGGGTTGGACCCACGAGTCCAACCCCCGCCTGGTCCCTTTGATTATTAGCGATACATTGCTACCAATTAACCAAAATGGCCAAAATGTATTTTTTTTTTGTATGTAATGCTTGGCTTCAGTACAAAGCTTCTTGGGTTTTCTAGCCGTTTTCGCTTGGTTAAGCAACTTGCTACATACCTACTGGTGTCATCCTCTAGTGAAGCCGAAACGTCGAGAACCATTTCTCAACTACGACAGTCGAAGAGGTCGAAAACACAAAAGCATATATAGCTTTTGTGTTTTCGTTATCTTAATTTTATTCACATCATACCTCATTGGAATGTTTGGACGCTGTATGGTATTTTAGGTCCCCGTTGCGGCGGAACCGTTGTCCACAAACCGTACACTCGCAGGGCTTGACACCGTCGTGAGTGCGCTTGTGGACCTACAAAATAAAATGTGAATGAATACACCACCAATTTATTAAGTATTGTCTGTGGCTTACGGGAATTACACTTTTCATTAACACTTTTAACGGTTTAAAACACGTTTCTTTATAATTTATTTTAACTACAGTCAATGTTCCGGATAGTTTTGCTTTGCAGTGCAGCCTTCGTCACGGGGGACTAAAGATGGTTTTTCTAATGTCAAATTAGCTACGTTAGCGCCATCTGTTTCGTCGTTGATAGTATTGTCAATTACAAATTACTAAAAAGTTCAGTTAATTAATATATTAAGCGTTTTAAACCGTTAAATGTTTTAAACAACTAAATTATTGTACTTTGAGACACTTCTCTTGGTTCACTAGTTGTTGGTTGGTGGTTCACTAGATGAAAGATGAAAATTCCCACTTCCATATTTAATTATGATATCGACCTTTTTGGATATAAATTTACAAGGTGTCCAGATGGAACGTGACAAATTACACATTTAAATAAAACACTTTTAAACCGGTTTAAAACGCGATATATATTGCAGCAGGCGTGGTCACGGGGAGACTGCCCTTGACCACAGCTGCTGCAAAGCATCCAAAACGTCGAGCCGAATTTAAAAAACATTTTCAAATAAGATAATTAACTAATATATCACCTTTTAATCCGTTAAAGTATTTTATTCAAATACAGATACATTTATTGGTCCCAGTGAAAAGATAACCCACAAACCGTTGTTATTAGCTATATTAGCTATATTTCGACTTGATCTGTTACTAAAGAATGTCATCTGATAAGCGAATATAAGTAAGTGTTTGGTGGAAAATTTAAACTGATTTCGTCGAAATATTTATCATTTCATCATTATTGACCGATAAGAGTCAATATAAATAGATTATTAATATTATAAAATAAAACATATTACTTGAAATAACTTAATTTTGACGCTATCGCACGTATTAAACACGTGCAGCCACATTTTATGTATGTATAAACTGTCATTCATATTACATTACTAGCTGTGTCTGCTAGTAATGTTTGTATTTTTTTAATGTGTAGTAGTAATCTTCGCCCGCGTAGAATAGTTATTTTGGGCATCCAAATTTGTTTTTGCAAACCCTACCTTATAAATTATACCCACATCGTCGTTCTTGCAAGTTAATCTTAAAAAACATTTTTTCGTACATATTTTTCGGCTATCGCTTAATTTCGAAGCGTGCGCATCGGAAACCCACAAAGTTGAATAATTTCCCCGTTTTTCTAGATGTCCCGCTGTTTTTTCGCTCCTACTAGTCACAGTGTGATGAGTTCATAGCCTAGAACCTTTCGCAATAAATTAACTAACAAAAAAAAATCAATAAGAACCAGTAGTTCCGCGCGTTCAAACAAACAAACTTATCAGCTTTATATATTATTATAGACAAATTTCCGTCACAATTCCCTGAAAGTCAGAGCTCACCTTAAGAGACGTGGATGTATAGAACCTCTTTCCACAATCGAGGCACGGATGCTTCCTCTCATTGTGCATGAGAAGGTGGTACACCATGCTGTTCCGGTGCTCGAACACCCGACCGCATTGCACGCACTCGAACTTCTTATCCGTCTTCTTCTTGCTCTTGGATGTATCTGAATGAGGCTTCTCCAATCGTGGAGGTGGAGGTTCTGGCTGTTGCTCTTCGTTCTCCAAGATCCTCTCCAAAACTTCCTCTATAAAGCGTATGAGTAAAAATAAGGTTTATTAGACAAACAAAATACTTCTGTTGGTTCAAGAAGCTAGCTTGTAAATAAGTATATCTATAAAAAAGCATCGACAACATTTTTTAGGATACAGTAAGGGTAGAGAAGACACCCTATCACTAAGGCTTTGTCATTTGACTCTCAACGCAAGAACTACGATAGTTTTTACATATTCTATGTCTCTCTTGGCGCTACAAAAAATTTAGATCAACAGGCTGTGGATGGCGGTTCAAGTCTTGCCCGTGTCGTATATATTTTTTAATCAGTAACCGATTTTTAATAAATAATTTATTCCATACCAAAGTACGCATATACGATTACATAATAATATAAATATTAAGAACGTGGTTTAAAATTTAACGCATATGAATACTTGGCTGTGGAAGAACATCGGTTAACTTGGTAGCTTGCTGCAAAAATAGCATTGCTGCTGCTGCCCTATCATTCTTACTAATGGATTAATTGGCACATATCTCGTGTTTATGATGGCGTACTTGTCGAGATTCAGGATTAAAATGTCGGAGAAACAAGATCACTTTACAATATGATTAATTAAGAGTTTACCTTTAGTCACTTGATACGGCCTTTGGTGAGTGTAAGGAGGCGCGCACACGGGACAGCAACCTGCACCGCCGCATGCGCAGAGTGGACCCACTTCTGGGCTCTCGCCTCCACTGCGTGAGTACCTGAATAGAAATTTCTATATCTATACTAATATTATAAAGTTGAATAGTTTACATATAACATTATAACTTTGTTTGAACGCGCTATAAAGCACAGCTTGGATAACTACGAGCGAAGAAACAGTGGGAAATGTGGGAAAAATTATCTTTGAGGTATTTCGTTGCATGCGTAAACGCGCATGAGGTAAACGGTTCAAGACGCCGAACAATATAATTATGAAAAAAATTATTCCTCTTAAAATGATCTAAAACTACCGCGACAGTTTATTCCTATCTTTTAGATACTTGAACAATGACGGGACGCGGACGAAGTCGCGGCCACAGCTAGTTTCACATAATTTGGTAAAGCCGTTCCGGAGGAGTAGGGCAAGTAACACTAGAGATACACAAACTCTTTAAATATAGTTTTGGGTAATAAAGAAAAAATAATACATATGGCAATAAGATATACCCACCAATGCCTAACATGTTCTTGGTGTACGTGGCCATTTTCAACTGTTAAGTGTGGCAACACTGTGTCATACTGAGCGTGTTGTTCTTGAGACTGCTCATGAACCTCATGGTCGTGCGTCGGGTCAGGGTGCTGTTGCTCGTGCTGTTCGTGCTGCTCTTGTTCATGTTCCCCCTCATCTACCGCCACGTGTATACCTTCCATTAAATCTTCTGGCTCGCTGAATTCGCCCATGTCTTCTATCTGAAATATGTTTACATGTACTATTTAGATTAAAATAAAGTTTCATCATGTTTACGTGCACTTTTTTTTTCTGTCTACCCGCATAAGGATCTGTCAAATAAATAAATCAACAGATAGATTAAGACCAAAATAAGTACGAGATAGAGATATATTAGTTGAATTTCTTGGATGGTCTCAACGTGACCACGGCTGCTTAATAACGGCTAGACGTTTCGAATGCTTTGCAGCATTCGCAAACGTCTGGTCGTTATTAAAATAATTTCCAAATAAGTTTAACTAATATATATCATGTTTTAAACCGTTAAAGTGATTTATTTAAGTGTAGACAGACAGTATTTATATACTTACCTTCGAAGCATGCACCTCCCGTATATGAGCTTCACACTGCTTTTGTTTTCTGAAGGACTTATTGCACTTCACACAGCAATAGAGCTCCAATTTGTCTAAGGTATCATCTAATTCGCCCTCTACATCCTTATCTATGCCCATAGAGTACTTATAAAGTTGTTTGTCATAGACAATGTGCTTGTCCATGGCCTGGTAGATTGTCTTTGGTACAGTGCCTTCGAGAGACAGCTCTACTATCGAGTCGGGAAGTGTTACTCCATTGTCTACTATACAAGTATTGCTTATCTAAAACAAATGAATAGTATGATGTCTCATCATCTTATCTTCAGTGAGTTAAAAATTTTATATCCATTTCAACAATGGGCTTATAGTACATTAATATCTATGTCTAAGGAACTATTTCAATGACTTTCCCGTGATTTGAACCCAGGAGCTTAAGCCCTTAGCGGAATATTAGAAGCGCTCCATTATTTTATTTGGTCACAGAGTCAGATCATTTTACAATCATAGAGGATAGACAAGCAAGGTTTACTTGATGGGAGGTGAAATACTCCAGCCATATATTCATCTACACAAAATGCGCTGTCGACCCATTTTGGCTTTGGATATTTTGAAATCTGACTGGCACTGAAACGCGATTAAGCTTCACTTAACGGATTTTTCATGTGTGGGACGGTGGTTCGTGACCCGAACGGAATTTCTATTTTCCCACTACTCATTTAATATCCAGATTTCCAGAGGAAGTCTAACATAATTCAGAAAAATTGTAATTTGAAGAAATAGAAACATTTTCATTTTGGTGGGGTTCGAACCCACGACCCGTTGATTATTAGTCATACAGTGCTACCATAAGACCGACGAGTCCGTCGTAAATTTTATAAATTATTAAATACCTTATCTATTCCTATATCAGGTACGACAGGGTTCTCCATGATGATGGAGGTTTGAGGTTCATAATGGTGACGTAAATGCTGGTAGAATTTAAGCTGTTCTTCACCATAGAACTGCCCGCACAGCTGACATACCAACACTGCTCGGATCTGAAAATGACCATTTGATTTTTTTTTCTATTGGACACCGATAGAATGCCGGGCGATCAGCCCATACCCCCAGCTGACTATTTCAACCATTTCCACGTTTTCTCCTTGCTCTTTCTTTGCTTGACTTTGGGTTATCCAACTCTCACTACGATGAGAAAGCTCATCGCATCTATAGAAGGATACTTACATGTGGTACATGAGTGTCAGGGATGTGTCCAGTCTCCTGGTGTCGAACAAGAGGGTCCACAAAACTGTCCGGGTGAATTTCCTCTTGTTCTTGTTGCACCTCGTCGTTACATTGAATAAATACTATATCCTGGAGAAAATGAAAATGTGAATATATAATATGAATACTTTTTTTAAAGTTAATGCACATTATTTATTAAAAATCTATTTTAGTTGAAAAAAATTGACGACACCGGGTTTGAACCAGCGTCCACCGCTTTCAGTTTTATTGCTCTAACCAATTGCGCTACGGAGTCCAACATATCATCGTTGAATTAATTCAACCTATTGATACCTATTAACACTTACGCATTAAGGTTCAATGTGTCATGTTTTAGTGCTTAAGAAAGATTATTGAAGATGAAATTACGAGTTTACCGTTTGAAAACTATTTCACATGATGACAATCCACGCACAATATTAATTGAAAATAAGTTTTACATTGGTTCATGTAATGCCCCCGAAGTAATTTTTTCATTTTAAAATCAATTTTTAATACTCGTTAAATTCAAATAATAAAAAATATATATTATAACTAGATTAATTTAAGATGAACTAAGTATTCTGTAAAAAGCACCATCTGTTTCGAATAATAAATAGATTTGGGCAAGCTATATTGTGTTTGTCTCTTTATAACGCTAAAGCTGAGACAAATATGTATATGAAACAGTGGGTGGATGCTACAAAATAATGTTGAACAAAGATCGGTCTACTAACTTAAATAATTACATATAAGATTCCTATGATAGAACTTACTTCTTGGCTAGGTGTTGTGTTCCCTGTATTTCTCTTCAATTTCCTAGAAATTCTCTTCTTGTGAGGCAGACTTTTCTTATTCTGCTTGCACTGCATGGGGGAACCACTGGACATTTCTAGCACTTGACTATCCTCTAGTAACATATCACCATTTTCCTATTAAAGAAGATTGATATTGTCATTGTTAAAACTGTGAGAAGTGTTAACAGATGTGAAACTGTTTAATATAAATTCCGTTATTTATTTAATAGGTTTTTTTTAATGATAGAGTTAAATACCCCAGCCATATAACATATGCATAGCAAGATGTCTACCTATTTTGGCTTTGGATATTCGGAAATGCGCAGACTGAAACCGAAACGTGAAACTTGAAAACCAGTTTGGATCCAGTGCCATCAAACCCATACATGCTACCATTAGACCAATGATCCCGTCAAATCGTTCTGACATAATCATCTTTTTTTTAATCCTAGATGTGGAGGATTTAAGACGCTTTAACAATTACCTGCACAAAGTGATTGTTTCAATTTGACCGATGGTTATAGATAGCATGAGTAATACGAAGTTTGCTTGATGATTAATTTATTCCCATATGCATTTTTACCTAGCTAAAGTAAGTACAAACAAGACAATATGTATATGTACCTTCAGTGAATTTTTATCCTTGTTAAACCAAGATGTATCTGGACACCTCTTCATATCTTGCAATGGGGGCAGTGTTGGTAAATCTGACACTTGAACCGTAAGTGCTTCATGGTGCTGCTCCTATTAATCAATTATTCAGATAACAAACATACTGATGAAAAACAGAGATATAAAAATAAATACTTACTAAAGAATGACTGCTAAAAAGTCTCATAGAACCATCTAGAATCACAGATGTATCTACATCACCTCTAATTGTTGTTGGTATCTGAAATGGGTAAACATAACCTCCTAAGAAAGTAAATTTCAAAAATCCCTTGAATAATAATGTGTCTTTTTTATATTATAAATTATATCTATAGTAATATTAGCTGAACAGTTTATTTGTTTGTTTGAACATGCTAATCTCAGAAACCAGTAAGTTGGAATTGAAAAATTATTTTTGTATTGGTTAGAGCACTTAGGAACACTCAAGGAAGGCTTTTAAGATCTTTGCTGTGTCTTATAAAAGGGAATATGGAAATTATTTTATCTTTGTGGGTTTTTGATGTGTAGGTACGCTGCGAAAGCGGTGCAAGATAAACAAAAAATATGTATGTAAGTATGAAAGATGAAAATGAGATTTGTAAAAACTAATTTGGAGGCCCAAAATAGCTATTCTATGCGGACGAAATCGTTGACATAACTAGTTAAATATACGATACAAGTATAAATGTGAAGTGATGAGACAAAAAAGCATTCTATCCAAAATTGGATCAGCACCTTATGTGTGGTCTCTACTGACAATGATCAAAGACTAGTTAGCCAATTAATAGTACAATCTGGGACTATTATCAAAGAGCTACAAAGTGCTGAAAAAATCGCATAAGCTTTAAACAATGTTATGTTTGGTACCTTATGATGTGAGGTTTGACCATGATGATGAGAACTTCGACTTGGCTGCGCTAAATGTGCAACAAGTGCTGCTAATCTACCGTCTAACAGTTCCTCTACCCAGGGTCCATCACCCATTTGTTCTCCAACAGATACCTGCCTGCAAATAAGTATTGTAGATGTGTTTAGTCAACTGATAAATTGATCAATGTTTAAATAAAACACGTTTATGGTTTAAAACGCGATATATTAGTTAAACTTATTTGAAAATCATTTTTAACTTCGCGGCTGATGCTTTGCAGCAGCCGTGGTCACAGGGAGACGTTTCACGGAGAGAGTTAAAGTGTTTTATTTAAATGTGTACTACTCGCGTAAACTATAGACAGTATTTGATCAATGTTATCAAAAATAAAAGTAGGTAACCTGTAAGTATAAATTAGATGAAAAAATTAATCTAGGTGTAGCCTGCCACATGGCAGGGTAACCATAGGAGTAGGTAATAATATAATATTTACAAATCACAATGGCTAAAACCTAGCTCTAGGCTTTTGCCTGTGTGCACTCTTAAACACTATATTTACTTCCAAGACTTAGTCCCTAGAAAAATGTGAACAAACATCTCTTATTACTATTCCACAAACTATTTTTTACAAACATTGTTATCAATTAATTACCGGCAAACTTGTTGTGAATAACTTTGGGGATGCATGACTGTAACAACTCTCCCTCCTCCATCATCTTGGACGTTTAATGATAAGGAGTTTGCATCAACTGCCTGAAAAAGTACACTATTTAACATCTTTGCATATAATTGATTAGTTATAGCTTGAAAAATCAATATAATAAAAATATTTTGAATTAAAGAAATCCATATACCTCAGTGTTTTGATGAGTTTCAATGTAATGTGAGACTGCTTCATCAATTTTGTCGCCCAATTTAAAATTTGTATCTATATTCCTCATGATTACTTTATTGTTGAAGCAGGTTATGACAGCTGATGCTATCACAATTCAAGGTCACAATCAAATTTATATTCTCACTTATCGTCACATTTTGATGTTTCTAAGGAGAAATACAGTTTCTCGTGATGGGTAAAAGCAATTATAAAGACCTGTTGAATTGCTTAATTCTCATTTCCACTTTTTTACTAAATACGAATGACTTTAAACAAAATGTTGAATTCTTATTTGAGTGATTCTTTTTAATAAATTCTTGTCAATGCATTACTACTTGAATTACATTTCCACTGTAATGGTATTTTTTACAATTTATATTGTTTTATTTTCACACATGTAAATTGTAAACGTATCTACAAGAACAAAATTATATGACAGATGTCAAATATCAATTTTTCAATGTCAAATTAGACATTTAAATATGTCAACTTCTATTATAACAACAAGAAGTAAAATGTGTGAATTTGGAGTTTCAGTTCAAATAAATTTGTTCACGTAATGCTTCTGTAAATATTTCCCAAATTCGTGTTTCACAATTTTGTTGTACATTGAAAGTTTTGTATTTTAATCCTAGTCACAAAATCGATTTGATTATGTTTCGAAACTCTGTTAGATCTAAAGCAATATTGAAGTCTCATGAGGTTTGTTTCGGTTTTTATTACTTATTTAATATTATTCTTAAGCAGAAGACTTTGGAAAAATCGTGAAATTTATTGCACCTATAATATTTGAATATTGACAGTCCTAAGAACCTCCAAGTTTTAAACATATAACACTTGTTATCTTGCACTTTTGACCTCTACTCTTATATTTTAACAGATACAACGATGTACATATACAAGTAAGCTTGACGAAATTCGTGAGAAACTACGACAGGGCCCTAGCTTAGCTGATTTTGTATCAGACGACCGACCCAAAACATGGAATGATTATGAAGGCAAACTTAAAAGAGAAAAGGGCGAAAATGAAAGATTGCGTTTACCCCCATGGTTGAAGACTACCATACCTACAGGTATTTCAAATATTCTATGTACACTGTGTAGACTAACTATGTATTAACTCTCCACAATTACACTTGATATGTTTTTCCTCAGGATCAAAATTCAGTGAATTGAAAAAACAATTGCGTAGTTTGAAACTGAGTACAGTATGTGAAGAAGCTAGATGTCCAAATATTGGTGAATGCTGGAGCGGAGGAAAGCATGGAATGTCCACAGCTACTATAATGGTTGGTAGAGTATATTAATACATTTTGTTTAGTCTACAAGAAAGAGTTATATAAAAATAACTGTTAATAATATTTTAGTTAATGGGAGACACTTGTACTCGGGGATGTATGTTCTGCTCGGTGAAGACTTCTCGAGCTCCGCCTCCACTAGATCCAGACGAGCCATTCAACACAGCACATGCTATCAAACAGTGGGGATTGGGGTACATAGTGCTTACATCTGTCGACAGAGATGGTAATATGATATGATTCATTATTAGAAGCTATAGATTTAGCTTAGGTTTAGACCCGACTTTATTTGTGCCTCCTTATATGTATAAAGTTTTGTCTTAACCCTTGAAAGAATTCAAAAGTCTAAATCTATATATAATCTAAAAAGTGGAAATAAAAATACACAAATGAGAATACATAATACGCGTGTACTTCTTATTAAATCATTTACTTACAGACAAAAAGTCTGTAAGTAACTACTTAGCCATGTTGGGTGTAAAACATTCTATCTTCCCATTTTTATTTGATGTAAAAACTATATATAACATTTCAAAATGGTTGTTGAGGTTTTGGATGGACAGACTAGATACACATATTAACCCTTATAACACTTATGACATTAATAATTAAATTTTTTAAATGTATAGTGGTTCTTATTACATTTATATGTTTTAGATCTACCTGATGGTGGTTCAGCTCATCTTGCGGAGACTGTAAGAGAAATAAAGAGGCAGTGAGTTTTTATTCATTTTTATTTACTAGTTATGGTTTAATACATAATTTGGGTTGAGCATATGCTCAACACTATAGAGCTAGGCTTACAAGCCCGTGAAAAAAAATGTTATCATCACCAATGGTTGCCAACACTGTGTATACAACTACATAGTACAAGTTATAATATAAAGATTAGAGTTATTAAACATAAAATTTTCAGAAACACAGAGATCTTGGTCGAATGTTTGGTGCCAGACTTCCGAGGTAGTCTTGACAGCGTAGCTACTGTGGCCAACAGTGGCCTGGACGTGTTTGCGCACAACATCGAGACGGTGGAACGCTTGACACCATTTGTTAGAGATCGAAGAGCTGGGTATGTTGTAGATTTTCTTTGATATTTAAAGATATATTTTTGATTAGTAAATTGCTGCATTGGTAAAGCACCGAATTAGGGGGCTCTATGCTTTTTAGAGCAGGCATAGATTGCCGTTATCATGATTATTTTAGTGCAGAGCCACTGCAGTTTCCCGGACTATCTTCCAAGTGTTATTTATGGACTTTGTTTTTATGTACTTTTCTTTAGTTGTAGGGCGCATTTAAATAAAACATTTTTAACGGTATAAAACGTGAAATTTATTACTTAAATTTATGTACAAATTATTTTTATACTTTTATGAAATGCACAGATGAAAACTTAATAAAAAAACTTAAATTTTTCTAAAAATAATAAAATAGTAATTATTATATGCACTAATTTTTCAGATATCGTCAAACATTGAAAGTGCTGAAGACAGCGAAAGACATTAATCCGGATTTGATTACAAAATCCTCCATAATGTTGGGTTTGGGTGAAACAGATGAGCAAGTAGAGCAAACTATGAAAGGTAATTTATTACGCATTAAAATAAAAAAAGCACCTAGCGGTTAAATATTCATTCGTATATGGTATGCCCTAAGCCTTTTAACAATTTCATCCACTTTATAATATTAGCATAGATAATAAAAGTTTGCATTATTTTATAGATCTCCGTTCAGTCGGCGTAGATTGTCTCACGCTTGGACAATACATGCAACCCACGAAACGCCACCTGCGCGTCCAAGAATACGTAACGCCAGATAAGTTTGCAGAGTGGGAGCGACGCGGTACAGAACTTGGCTTCCTGTACACGGCGAGTGGACCGCTCGTCAGATCCTCGTATCGTGCTGGTGAATTGTTTATATCCAGCCTTCTCAAAGATCGGAAGGCCAAGACTGCTTGACCCGACACCAAATAAACTCCTAGAAGGAGAAAAGTTTTAGTTCAATCGTGTAGTCGGTAATAGAAATAATCTTTCAGCACTGCTGTAACTGTAATCTTTAATTAAGCTTCGAAAATAACTGAAATGTATTGAAGAAATAATTTCTTTTTCTATTGCTTTTTCTTACGCTGAATTTAGCCTATATATATATACACATCTATTATACATGTATATGTTGTATGTAAATATAAGAAGGCTATATAAATTAAAAATTTACGACTTGGGCAGGATTTGACACTTCCGTATTAAGGTTTAAATTACAGAGCGAGAGAGATGCATGTATTAATAGGTTGAAAAAAATTCGACGATGACGTGCAGGACTCGGTAGCTCAATTGGTTAGAGTTCCTGTATGTTGTGGATGCCGGTTCAAGTCCTGCCCGAATTGTAATTTTTTTTCAATTTATTTTCGATTATAGAGTGCCATGTGGTTTTATTTATCTTTATAAAGGTTGTCTTTACATATAGTATCTTAAGCTGTTGTTATGCAAAGCTTTTGTGATTTTGTTATGTTTTTAAACTTTACAAGCTGTTATTAATATTCGTTTCTAGATTAAGCTCATGATTTGTTTATCACAAAGTATCAATAAATTATATTTTTTTTAACCGAAATGTATTATTTAAAACAGACACCCTACTTTCTTATGATATACTTTTTTTATGAAATACTTCAGCCATATATATTTGTTTTGAGATATAGTACTTTATTTTGTTAGTGTTGAGGACTGATTAAATCTCATTAGACTCACGGTGCTGTCAGAGTTGCCACAAATATAAGTTTATTAGAATGTAAGTAGATAGGTTCTGAGGATATTTACAAAATTTCATTAATATCGGCCGAGTAGTTTAGGCACAAGAACTTTATATTAAGAAAAATATCTATACCCAGATTATTTCTAGCTAGCGAGGTAGGAGCTACAGACAATAAAATGTTTAACAATCGAATAGATAGAATCGCTATTCGATCAATTATAAAAATATATATCGATAGATTAATGGAAGAAGAACTGAATAGGTTGCGGTGGGACATAATAGGATTATCAGAGGTCCGACGAGAAGGACACAATAACCTTGGCGTCCGGGAACATTTTCTTTTACCGAGAGGGAGAGGACAGCAGTCCCTAGGCGGTGTCGGGTTCATAGCCAAAGGTAAACTTTCAACTCATCTGCGCCTCTTTTCCCTAAACTTCATGGCACAGTCTTTGGAGGATCAAATACCAATGCTCGAATACCTCATAGTGAACAGTGTTTCCAAGCAGGTAGGCCTAGGAACAGGGACAAGACAAAAATAATGTCGAACGCCCATGTAGTGCCTACCTCTGTATCTATTGGAAGCACTGTACTCAAAGTTGTTGACAAATACGTCTACTTGTCAAGTTATACAATTAGGCAGATCCAACTTCGAAAAAGAGGTCAATCGTCGAATCCGACTCGGCTGGGCAGCGTTCGGGAAACTAGACAAAGTCTTTTCTTCCCGTATACCTCAGTGGCTTAAAACTAAAATGTTACCAGTGATGACGTACGGTACCAAAACATGGCCTCCCACCGCGAGCATGGTGCACAGACTACGCGTCGCTCAGCGTGCGATGAAAAGGGCTATGCTCGGAGTTAACCTGCGTAATCGAATCAGGAATGAGGAGGGATCCGTAGAAGAACTAAAGTCACTGACATAGCCCATCGAATTGGCAAGCTGAAGTGGCAGTGGACTGGGCACATCGCTCGTAGAACTGACGGCTGTTGGGGCAAAAAGGTTCTGGAGTGGAGACCACGTACCGGACGTCGAAAACCTGGACGACTTCCTACCAGGTGGACCGAGGACCTGGTCAAGGTAGCAGGGACACGCTAGATTCAACTAGCGAACGACCGGTCGACGGAAGTCTAGGGGGGAGGCCTATGTCCAACAGTGGACACCGAACGGCTGAATCAATATTATAATAATCATTTCTTAGAGTTGTATCAACATAATGATATTTATTTAGCAAACAACAAAACAACGTTTGCCGGATCAACTAGGGAAGAGATATACGTTCAAAGCAAGTGTGTGTAAAAAGTGTACGGCATAGTTCAGGGTAACCTACCTACAGCAACGGTACACGCACGACTGCCACGCTAGTGGAAGCGAAAAAACCAACACATCGCGCACCGAATACACAAAATGTTGCTAATTTAACTCCTCACTTGGGATTCACGAAGAGAGAATGTTGGATGTGACATTTTTTTCGATTTTAAGTAGATTTTTACTTTAAAAGTATTAATTTGATGTTATATTTATTTTTTAGTTACGAGAAGTCCTAGGTTTGAATACTGATGTACAGGAAATGGTTTCGTTCCGATTAAGTATATGATTCTGAATAATTTACAATTTTTCTGAAATATTTGACTTTGATATCTGGATATTAAATGGATGGTAGGAATATTGCAAATTCCGTCCGGGACACGAACCGCTGTCCACAGATTATCAGCCAGAATAGCGTGAAGTTTAATCGTGTTTCAGTTTCAATCTGTGGATTTCCGATTATCCAATGCCAAATAGGCCGGCAGCGACTTACTTAGATGTTATATGGCTGGGGCATTTTTCCTACCAAATGAACACTATTGTCTTTCCTCCTCTAACATAAACAAGCTAATAATTATTTCAGTAGGATACTATAAAGTACATGCATGCAAATATTATAATAATAAAAAGCGATCAGTGAAACTTACACTTAATACAATACCACAAATCACTCTACAACGGTTAAATTTAAAATACCGCATCCAAAATGAACTAGCCAGTGAATCCATGTCGTTACTGCACGTTTGGTCAGCAAACGGTGTGTGTTAGTTCTCCGGCGGGGTTTTTGCGCGGCCGTGCGTCAACTCGGGATCTCTTAGCATACACTGCATAAACTATTGTCTTTAACAAAAATGTAACATTAACAGTTAGACTAGTCTTTATTATTCATATTATTCTTTAAATAAACGACTTTAACGGTTTAAAACGCGAAATATATTAGTCGAACTTGTTTTGTCGTTCTGTGTGTTGTTTTAAACCGTTAAAATGTTTTGTTTAAATGTGCACTCCACGCGTAAAATACAGATAGTATTGAGTGTTTATCAATTTTATTGAAAAAAACGAATCGAACGCCGGCAAGATAAATTAAGTTATAATAAAGTTTGTACTGTCTACTTTACGCGAGTAGTAAACAATTAAATAAAACACTTTTAACGGTTTAGAACGTGAAATGTGTCACTTAAAATAATTTGTAAAGTATTACTCACCTTTGTCATGGAATATAATATAAGTATGACATGATTAATATGAAAAAAGAAGAAAAAAAACTTATTATAAAATATAAAAAAAAACAAAAGGAAAAATCTCAATGATAGCAATTTATAGATCGTCAAGTGATTGGTAAAATAATTGTATTAATAGGATCGCATCGCAAGTAAGATATCTTCCAAGTAGAAAACCGCACTTGGTTCTCAGTCTTAATTCCTAGGTAGTTAAAACCGTTTGTAAATCGTTAACAAAATTAAGTAGTCGGAAACAGTTGCGCGCAGTGCACAATATCCCACAGTAATCAACTATGCAGCGACACTGCACCTCAGTACTACTGTCCAATATTTCTGCTGTAGTGCGCTGCAGTACTCGGCAATACGATATTATTTGCATTTAGCGGGATTTTCACGCTGTTCTGCTTTTGTCTTGGTTCCAAAATGGCTCTCACATTTCTTTTAATAAATAACGAAAGATTAACTTAAGTTATATATCTATACTAATATTTAAAGCTAAAGAGTTTGTTTGTTTGAACGCGCTAATCTCAGGAACTACTGGTTCGCGCTGCGACTAATAGGAGCGAAGGAACAGCGGGATATGTGGAAAAGAAGGGGAAAACTCTTTGTTGGTTTCCGATGCGAACGCTGCTAAAAAAAATGTCCTTGACACTATATCTCCATCTTTTAAGATTATTTGCAAGAACGACCAAATACAACCGATGTCGTGGGTAACATCTTTTTTATAAAGATTAAGAGATTTGCAAAAAAAAAAAATGCATACCCAAAGTAACTATGCTACGCCGAAGAAGTCGCTGATTCAGATAATTCCCTTATAAAATGTCTTAATAAATAATTTATCCAAATATATTCCGAATATCCAACGCCAAAATAGGTCGATAGCACATCTTGTTTAGATGTTATAAGGCCGGGGTATTTCGCCTACCATCAAGTTACCCATGCTTAAATTTCTTCCACTACTAAAAAAACATATTGTCCTTGAATCCTTACTTAAGTACATATATAAATTGTATATATTGAATCGTTAAGTTTTCTTTTAATTTGTTTACTAAAATTATTTTTTTATTTCTTATTTCTACATGCAAAGGTTGCCTGGAAGAAATCGCCATAAGCGATAAGGTCTTTGCACAAACATGTTTTATTTTGTATATGTAATTCTATGTGTCCATGGTCTATGTTTGTGCAATAAAGAGTTTATTATTATTAATTGTATAGCATGCGTAAACTAGAGGTTCAAGTGAATACTTTAATTCTTCAAAACCAATTTTTTTAATAATACTCGGAAAACTGGGTCACAAGTAACTGTTTTAAGGTTTTTTTTACGAGAAAGGACGACAGATAAACATAATGTGGTTCATCGCGCTATCGACCTCTTTTGGCTTTAGACATTAGGAATTGTCCAGACAAAAACCCGAAACGCGATTACAATTCACTACTTTGAATCTGTTAATTTCGTTAGATTTTCTAGATCTTTTAAATAAAACACTTTAACGGTTTAAAACGCGCTATATTAGTTAAACTTATTTGAAAATTATTTTTAACTTCGGCCCGACGTTTCGGATGCTTTGCAGCAGACGTGGTCACGGCGAGACTCCCCGTGACCACGGCTGCTGCAAAGTGCGTTTTAAACCGGGTTTTAAACCGTTAAAGTGTTTTATTTAAATGTGTACTACTCGCGTAAACTATA